CGGTGGAGATGGAGCCCAGGCGCTTCCGACCCCACACCCCGTACAGGTTGAACTTGTAGTGCCGCGACGGGGACAGCCCCACCACGCTCACCGTGCGCGAGCCACCGGCCACGGGCAACACCTGCGCCTGCCCTTGCGCATCCCTGTACTGCACCGTGAAGGAGTCAAAGGTGCCCTCGGGGACGCTCCACTCCAGCTGCACAGAGTCAGAGGTGACCTGGGAGGCTGTGAGCTCGCCCAGGATTGGCTGCGATGGTGGTTCCTCCTCTTGTGGGGCTGGGGCTGCAGTCGAGAGAGCACAATGCAGGGCATAAAATTCCATGAGCCCGTCCATCCATCCATCCATCCAGAAACCAGATATTAATCCATGCAGTGCTCTCTCCATCCTTCCTGCAATCAATTATCATCCACCCACCCATCCATCCATCCATGCACCCATCCATCCAAGTCCCATCCATCGAGCTGATCCTCCACCCACCCACCCAAGCACACATCCAGCTCTCCACCTCCTTCTCCATGCACCCACCCACGCCTCCAGCCCTCCCATCACCCATTTCCCAGGAACAACCCTCCCACCATCACAGCAGGCATTCAACCAGTCACCAGCCATTAACTGCGCCATTTGCCACCCCACCAGTTTGCCCACTTATCCCTCTGCTTCTTATCAACGCATTCATCCCTCCACCAATCCGTCTGTCCATTCATAGCATCACAGACTAGAATCACAGAATGGTTAAGGTTGGAAAAGACACTTAAGACCATCAAGTCCAACCGTTAACCCAGCACTGCCAAGCCCACCACTGAACCATGTCCCCAAGCACCACGTCTACCCGGCTTTTAAATCCCTCCAGGGATGGGGACGCAGCCCCTGCCCTGGGCAGCCTGGGCCAGGGCCTGACAGCCCTTTCCGTGAAGAAGTTTTTCCTAATATCCAACCCAAACCTGCCCTGGCGCAGCTTGAGGCTGTAAAATACTGCATGTGACCTTCATCGTTATGGTACATTCTGCTGCACACCCCCCCACACACACCCACCCTGAATAATAAAGGAAAAAAACCCTCATAAGAAAACCTAAAGGAGTTAAAAGTTTTCAAGTATTTTGAGTAACAGTATTGATTATACTTACTGATGTTAATACAAGTCTATGTAACAGGTAAATGAAATCTGACAACTTGATACTAGAACTAACTGCAGATAAACCACTCATGTATGAATCTGTTCCAATTTGCTTAGCTTTGAGCTACCTTTGGGCAAGCAAAAGCAAGGATGCAGATTGGCTTTTGTTCTTTTCTTCTGCCAAAAACCTAAGCAGAACTTTGGAGCATCATCGTATTCTCTTCCTTATTCCTGTCCTTCAATAATTTCCCCATCTTTATTTTAACAGCCCTCGATCCCCTCCTCCAGATCATCCATAAAGACATTGAACAGAACTGGCCCCAGTACTGAGCCCTGGGGAACACCACTGGCTGTCCGTCTGTCCGTCCTTCTCAGCATCCATGCTTCCATCTCGAGGACCGTTACTTCAGGCACCCCTCCATCCATTCTTCTCCCTACCTCTCCATGCAAGCATTCAGCCATGGATCTCACCCTCGGGGCAGCCGTGCTGCCAAACATCCACCCAGCCACTCATCTGCCCAGCCACATTCTCCTCTCCATTTGCCCAGGAATCCGCCCGTCCTCCAAGACGGCATCCATTCAACCAGGCCGTTATTCACCCCCCCACCCCTCTCTCTTGCCTGCTCCCATCCCTTTGTCCATCCAACAGGCAACACCCCAGAGCTGTCCCCGCTGTCCCACCTCCTGCCACACTCCAAACCCAGCGCCCAAAGGGGACATGGAAGGAACCCGCAGACGCCCTCACCTGTGACAGCGTCGGTGGAGACGGGGCCCAGGCGCTTCCGACCCCACACCCCGTACAGGTTGAACTTGTAGCGCCGCGACGGGGACAGCCCCACCACGCTCACCGTGCGCGAGCCACTGGCCACGGGCAACACCTGCGCCTGCCCTTGCGCATCCCTGTACTGCACCGTGAAGGAGTCAAAGGTGCCCTCGGGGACGCTCCACTCCAGCTGCACGGAGTCAGAGGTGACCTGGGAGGCTGTGAGCTCGCCCAGGATTGGCTGCGATGGCGGTTCCTCCTTTGGTGGTGCCGGGGCTGCAATGGGGACAGCACAATGCAGGACACTCTGGGGACAGACATCCCTCTCTCTCTCCCTCCTTCCCTCACTCCATCCCTCCATCAGTCTATCTGCCTGTCTGTCCATCCATCTAATCACCCACCCATCACTCAACTCACCCAACCACCTCCCCTTCCATCCTTTTCCCATTCTTCCAGCTGTTTCTCTGCCCATCCACTTGTCCATCCCGTTATCCCTTCGTCAGGGAATTCAGGCAGCCAGCCTGCAAGAAATCTGTCCTTCCATCCATCTGTCCATCCCTCTATCCATCCATGTGTCTTCCCACCCATCCACGCTTCCTTCCATCCTGTCACCCATCACCTTGCCATGACCATTCTCCCTCACGTCCGTTCATGGATCCATGAACCCAACTGCCCAAGCAGGAGCCCATCCATCCATTCATTCAGTAAACCGCCCAGTTATTCACCCGACCACCCATGCTTCCATCCATCCCTGCTGCCAGCCATCCATCTATCCAGCCATCCATCAGTCCACCCAATCATTTTTCCAGCCACTCATCCAAAAATCCCATCCATCCATCAATCCATCCCTCCATCCAATCCCATCCATCCATCCACCCATTCCCATCCATCCATCCTTCCCCATCCATCCACCCATCCAATCCCAACCATCCATTCATCCTCCATCCATCCCTCCATCCAATCCAATGCATCCGTCTATCCTTCCCCGTCCATCCATCCATCCATCCATCCATCCATCCATCCATCCATCCATCCAATCCCAACAATCCATCCATCCTCCATCCATCCATCCCTCCACCCATCATCATCATCCATCCACCCATCCAATCCCAACCATCCCTTCACTTACCTACCATCCAATCAACCACCCTCACACTCCTCCGATCCGCCCCCCTTCCATACAAACATCCCTCCAGCTCTCTGACCTCGCACACACCCACGCCCACCACCAAATCAAGGGCCAGAAGCTCCTCCCATATCCCTCAAGGTCAAAGGACCTGCCAAGGCTCCTGACTTCACTCCAAACCCAGCGCCCGCAGAGGACACAGGTGGTACCCAGAGATACCCTCACCTGTGAGGGCATCAGTGGAGATAAGACCAATCCGTTTCCGACCCCACACCCCGTACAGGTTGAACTTGTAGCGCCGCGACGGGGACAGCCCCGGCACGGTCACCGTGCGGGATCCACCATCAACTGCAAGTGCCTGAGGTTGGCCTTGGGCATCCCTGTACTGCACCGTGAAGGAGTCAAAGGTGCCCTCAAGGACGCTCCACTCCAGCTGGATGGAATGAGGGGTGACCTGGGAGACCGTGAGCCCGCCCAGGCGGGGCCGAAGTGGTGGTTCCTCCGATGGCGGGGCCGGCACTGCAATGGAGATGGCACAAAGTAGAACATGAAGATCCACCCTCCCATGCATCCTTCTGCTGAAAAAAAACTGAACCATCTGTTCGCCCACCCGTCTGATCATGCACCCTTCAATCCGAGCACCCAACCATCCACCCATCCTCCTGTTGAGCCAACTGGGTGTCCACCCATCCGTCCAATCATCCATTCATTCTGTTCTTTGTCTGTTGTTCCATCCATCAGTCCACTTATCTGTCTCTCCGTTCATTTGTCCATTCAAGGATCCAGGCTTCCATCCATTCAATGACCTGTTTTTCCACTCATTTTTCCTTACATCAATCTTTGAATTCACCTACCCACCCTCCCACCCATCCATTCCATCCATCCATCCA